TCTTCTTCTTCTTCTTCTTCTTCTTCTTCTTCTTCTTCTTCTTCTTCTTCTTCTTCTTCTTCTTCTTCTTCTTCTTCTTCTTCTTCTTCTTCTTCTTCTTCTTCTTCTTCTTCTTCTTCTTCTTCTTCTTCTTCTTCTTCTTCTTCTTCTTCTTCTTCTTCTTCTTCTTCTTCTTCTTCTTCTTCTTCTTCTTCTTCGAGGTTTAACGGCGGCTTGCATCCAAGAGCGTTGCATTACCGCCACCTTCCGGATTATTCTCCTGCGATGTTACTCCATTTGATTTCCTCCAGCTTGTTTTCCACAATCAAACCCGTTCTACTTAAGAAATTACACATATTTTTCCTGCTTTGTCTAATCATTCCCCACTTTGCAGTATATCTTTAATACCAGCCCATCTCTTCTTAATTCTTCATCATATTTCTTCTCTGCTCTTCATAACTTCTGCAACTTAAAAGAACATGTTCTATGGTTTCTAATGTCTGACAATATTCACAGAAACCAGTAGGATGCTTCCCTATAATGTGTAATGTACTATTTAAATGACTTAATCTTGTCATAGCTATTTCTTCTCTCCTAGTCCCTCCCCAGTTCCTCTCTGTACCAGCGTTATGTTGAATGGCATACACATCTTCCTTTAGCTTCCCTGTCCCACTGACGCTGGCTGTATATTTTTCAGGTTGGTCTAACGGTAGTATTCAGGTAAAAATACCACATAGATTGAATATTCAAATATAAAATAACTCTGCATAGTCTCATCTGTATAAATTAAATATAGATGAATTCTTATTCAAGTTTTTGTTATGTTTAATTATTATTAATGACACCGACAGCCAGTGATAGTCAGTAGCAGGTTCAAAAGTCTGCCAACACGTTAAGACCTAAAGGACAGAGACAATACTGTTACACGTTGTTCACGTTCACTTAAGACATAACCAACGGTGCTTGCATGAAAAGAGCTGCTAAGAAAATATTCTTATGATTTCATCTATATCAGGTATCAGGTATCATAGGTTTATGTCCTATAATGCATCCTGCCACCAGGCGGTTCATACTGGTTCATAAAAAACATTTAGATGTTGGTTTTATTCACAGAACTGTAGCAAAACAAAAACAACAAAAGTTATTGAAAAGGAACAATTGATAAAAAGCTCGCAACGCATTACAAAGATTGTGCAGTTTACCAGCCCCTAGAGGAAGATATTGCTCTTGTCGGGACCAAGTTTAAATAAATTAATTTAGAATGGACACAGTTCGGTATCTAAACGTCAAGGGGTGTGTCTTGTTACTTTTTTTAAATAACAATATTTACAGCCATCTTTTACTA